GGAAATGGTAAAAATGTGAGGAAAGCTGTGGCCATGAAGTAGAGCCAACGTGGGGGGGGGTGGCCCACATATACTACAAGTGGCAAAGCTGTGAGAGAGGAGCCAATACAGCACGCCGGAGTCCCCATGTTACCATCAAGACCTCAGCTGCTGAATGGAGAGCTGTGGGATTGGTGTTTGCCTTGCTGGGTTTAGGGCTTCACTTTGGCCCAGTCTTTCTTGTCTATCCTCCTGAGAATGTTTGTGTTTGGTTTCCTGTATTGAAAGTTTGTAACTTGTGAAAAAAAGCAAATTATTGTGTCTCTCCACTCGGCGTTTGTCTGGAATCCCAGAAGAGTCTTTGAACTTTGCAACAATGTAGGGAGTTTTCAAATCTGTGGCTACTTCTGAGGTCTGACGTGATGTGTTTCACATTGCTGATGGCAATAAACTCACAGGGATGGGGTAGAATATTGTGGTTTAAAAGTGATGTGTTCATGTGTTAGGTTGATAAGGGGGAAGCCTGGGATGATTAATCTTCATTGCTACCTTGGCTGGGCTGAGAAATGTGTAAAACGTTAATGAGGTACAGCTTGAATGGGGCAATGAGGGCATTTCCAGGAATTGACTAAGGGAAGATGACTTCCTTTAAATGTGAGTGATGTCAACCCAGGGCTGAGGTCCCAGTTTAAATAAGAAAGGGGAAAAAGACAAAAGAGCTGAGCACCGGAATCCTCTTTTCTCTGCTTCCTGACCAATGGGATGTGAGCCAACAGTCATCCAAGGCCGTATGTGCTGAACTGTGCCCCCTGAACTGTGAGCCAAAAATAAAAAATAAATCCATTAACTCCTTAGCAACTCTGAAGGTTTTGTACAGCAAAAGGTCCCCAGCAAGTGCCTGTGGCTTCAACTCTCAGGTTGCTACTCCTACCACCCAAAAGTGGAACTAAGATTGTCAGCTTCATCCAAACCCTAATGCAATCCAGTGCCATTTTTTAATGTTCTTATTTTATGGCTGATTCTTAGCACCACGGATATAAGAAACTCTGAGAGGTGATTAACAGCCTAAATAGATTGTACCCATAGTCTTATGGTACACAGTTTACCCACAGTATGTCTCCTATAGAACTAATTGTGTACCTTTTGTCCATGGGTCCCACCTGCTTTGATCAATGGCTGTTCAAACCCAATAACTTTGAGGAAATTGCAGCTCTAAGTTCTTCCTACTATACCAGTTTTTCCTTCCTTGAACACATAAATCCCTAGCCAGTGATTCTGCAAATGGCCACAAAGAAAGACTACTAAGGAAAATTACAGTAACATTTTAACATATTGCACTGTCACACAGAGAAATATAGCTGCTATCTCTCCAAAGCTTACCACTCATGAAATTTCTGATCTGAAATAACAATTCCTATGTTTTGATATCTAATCTTTGAAAATAGTAATATTTTTGTCCTTCTAGAGAGAGCTATAGAAAAGGAAAGAAGATATCGAGGTCACGAAAATACTTTATGCAACGATGATGATATCACATTTTCAAAATATCCACTCTGAGCTCCTATCAGGCTCAAGAGATATTCCAGGGGGGAAATGGTGTCCTCCTATGCCCAGTTAATAACTCACTAACATTGCCAGAATGTGTTTTCTTGGCTCCAGATCTAAGAGACAAGATAAAACACTCATTTACTGGGCTTATTATGTCTCAAACTCTCTTACCTAAGAGCTGGCCTATGGCACAGTGTTTTCTGTTTCCCTAAGAGAAGATGACCACCAATACTGTTGACAAACCATACTCTTGTTTCTCTTCCCTTTCAATTTGTAAGAAACTAGACCTGGAGAGTTGATGCACACTCTTGGGTGGGGGCACTTTCACAGAAAAGGAACTAGCAGAAATTTGAAACTTTATGGCAACAGTCTAGGGAATCTTCTCTACTTTTCTATCTTTAATCTTGAAACCAGGCCAGAGGGCAGCCATTACTAACTCCATTTTCAGATAAGAAGACTGTAAAACAGTCTCATGGGTTTGAAGAGGAAAAGGACTCGGAATTCTTGGCACCAGGGAGAAGAAGACACAATAAGAGTCAGAGTGGTGTTTGCACAATGAAGAAAAGATAACTTCCACATAAATCCAAACATGGGAACCCCCGGGGGAGGGAGCTGCTGAAAAGGAAAGTATAGTATTGATGATGGCAGCACCAGAGAACAGAGGTAATAAACTGCTTCACAAAGTAGAAAATGAAAGATGGAAAAGGTGAGAGCCTTGACAGTGCAAGGGTTAGGTGACAGATATATATGGGCAGAGAGGCACTGCGTAACAAGGTGCTGTTCGTGGAACAACCCACTGGTGCTAGCTAGCTGGCTTCCACCTCTAATTTTTTAGTCTTCCTGGGACCTGGATCCTTCCTTGCTGATGTGCCTGTGTACTGGGCTTTGCTGTTTTGTTACATTTGGGAATGTGGAGGAACTTAATTCCTATGACAGCATTTATCAGGGGTATTTTAGTTCTGACTGTGATGGGCAAATTACTATAGACTGGTTGGTTTAAATCAGTGATTCTCAACCTTCCTAATACTGTGACTCTTTAACACAGTTCTTCATGGTGTGGTGACCCCAAACCATAAAATTATTTTCATTTCTACTTCAGAATTGCCATTTTGCTATCATTATGGATCATGATATGCAGGCATTCTGATATGTGGCCCCTGTGAAAGGGTCACTCAACCCCTGAATGTGTTCCAACGCACAGGTTGAGAACCACTGGTTTAAGTGCTTATTTCTCACAGTACTGGAGGCTGCAAAGTTCAAGATCAGGGTACCTCCTCGTCTGGTGAATGGTGAGGGTCTCCCTCCTTGTAGATGGCTACCTTTTCATGTGCTCAGAGGCAGAGAGCAGAGAGGGTCAATGTCCCTGCTTCTTCTGTGTCTCTTTTAATTTTATTGCTGTTATTCTTTTTAAACATTATTATTGTGTACATTTAGCTAACACTCTGGTTTGTATGTGTGGTCCATGATGAGAATGCTTTGAAGATCATTTCTTTTAGAAGTTTTGAAATTCTTCCATTCTTTAGTACAGCTGTTCTCGACCTATGAGTTGCAACTACTTTGTGGGTCACATATCAGCTATCCTGCATATCAGATATTTACATTACAATGAAGTAACAATGAAATAATTTTGTGGTTGGGTATCACCATGACATGAGGAATTGTACTAAAGGGTCACAGCATTAGGAAGGTTGGGAACCACTGCTGTAGTCTAAGTGAAATTATGTACAGTTTGCTCAGGTCTTCCATTTTCCACCCTACCCTATCCTTGGTCTTTGGTAACCACCTTTGTAATTGCTGTTGCTATAAGACCCACATATACATGAGATCATACAGTCATTGGCTTGTCTCTGACTTATTTCACTTAGCTTGAGGCCCCTCAGAGACGTAACAAGATAGTAATATCATGGAGGCTCACATTCATGATGTCATCTTCTACTAGTTGTCGCCTGAAGGCCTGCCTCACCATTAGATATCATCACACTGGGAATTAAGGTTTCATCATAGGAACTTTGGATAGCACAACCTTCCAGTCCATGGTACTTACCAAACAAATAGGAGTTTTATTTTCATCAACACATCAGATATATCTATAATTATCATTACAATGTAACTCAGGGTGCCAGTCTTTCCTCAATGAAGAGAAACCTTTACTTGGATGCATTTTGAAGAGGAACCTCTTGGCTTTCTGCAGTCCAGTTCCTCTTGATTGTGTGTGTACTGTGTGTGCAAGGTGTGGGTTCTGCCAGTGCTGGACCAGATTCTCCATTTTTCCATTTTGATCTGGCACTTTCCTGGTGGACCTCCATTTGCCAAGTCCATGGCACTGTCAGTTTTCCACTCTTCAATCACCGGTTGTCCTTTAAGAGGGCATTTGCAAAGCTTTCCTTTTTGTCCTTGCTTTTGCTTTCCCTTTCCCTTTGCTTTGTAACACTCAGCTCTCACCTGCAAACCTGAAGCCAAGAAGATAGCATGTTCCTCCAAACATGCCCCAGCATCACCTCCCTCACTGGGCTATTTTAGGCAGGATTCCCTATCTCAGCGATTATTTTAATAGGAAGAAAACTTCCAGGTGAATGATTATTTTCCACAAAACTGTCAGTACAGAAGAAAGATGGAAAAAGGAAGGGATATAAAAAATAAGTGATCTTCTCTTGTTTCACATTGTCAGAAGTTTTCCCCTGCCCTACCATTCCAACGAAAGCCTCCCACAGATCAATTCATTACCGTTCTATAATACAAGCACACATGAAATTAGACTAGACCTGAAACTGAACCAATGTTGATTGAAATTCCCTTTCAAATTATCATCTACTTTTCGATATTTCTTTTACGCAGTAAAGAAAATACTTTTTATTTTTAAAAAGAGGGAAATTGATCTTTTTTGATTGAGAAAATAAATCTAATATATCACTAAGAAAGAACATGTGACCGGACACATACATGGCTTGGTACCCATGCAGATACCGGTACCAATTGCTCACTCGTGGTAGTTATGCCACCTCTGATGGGGACTGAGATAGTGTGTGCCATCATCCCTTGCTGTCTCCACCTTAGTTTAATCTTATTGGGTCCTTTTACTCTATTGATGTTATGTTTTGTAAGTTCATTCGTTCCACACAGAGCTGTCCAGCACAGGCTACCTTCTCCAGCTGTGGCGAGCTGAGTGACTTTCTAGAAGCCAGAGTGACATGGATACATACAATCAAGTGTTAAAATGGCAAGTGCCGATGGTTTGCTTATTTTGTTAATGTCCTAGGAACGTTCTAAGAAGACAAAAGCCTGATGATATTTTCCAGAAAGCAGAAAAAAAAATCCACAACTTGAATAGCTGATGCTTTTGTTCCAGAACATACACTTGCTCAGTGCCCACCTCCCAAACCTTGCCCCAGAACACCAGCTCTCTGTATAAGCAACTCATTTGTCACCAGTTGTCTCTGTCTCTGCCAGTCCAGCCACCCTAAACCTACACTTACCGTAAAGGGAAGTTTTGTCACTGGTGGACCAAGACTTCTGGAAGAAGGGTTGCCAGAGTGTGGACAGACTTATTTTTGTGCCAGCAAAGGCAAGAAGCCACAGCACACAAAATCTGAATGACAAAGAAGGAAACCCAGTCAAACAGACATTCTTCTAACTTCGGTGGCAAATGTTTTCTGCCTTCTGGCTGCCAGCCCTTTTCAAAGCTAATTCCCCAAGGATTGTTTTCCTTTGTTTAGCTTCCGTGTGTAGCAAATTAATTCATGATTTGTTGTTATTAGAAAACCAAAACAAAGAAAAAATATCTTTTCCCAGTACTCCTCAAAGTAATGCCCACAGGAACCCACCCAATAAAATGGCCTCAAAAAAAAAAAAAAAAAAAGATTGGTTCAAAGCCCATAACAATGCCAAAGCTGTGAGCTCTCCCACAGCTACCCATACTGTGGGGGTGTGGGGAAATATGCAAACTGGCAAACTGGGTGTACAGCATGCCTTTCTCTTGCTCTTTATGGAGCTCTTTTCCAAGGGCAAGGAATACTGCAGCAGCCTGTGGCAGCCAGGCAGGGCTGTCAGCATGAGCCTTACCACCTCTGGCACCGCAGCTTCAGCCATGAGGCAGTGATTGCTTCCCAGTAAGGCCAGATGAGCTTGGAGTACAGGGAGATTAAGTCATAAATAGTTCAAATTTAAGGGAGCTTTTCAATCCACAGAAATGTGAGGCTTCAAGGGCGAGATTTCCTCAGAAGGTCATCATCACCTTCAGAACATTTCCAATGAGAAAGCTACTTTTTAAGTAGAACAATAGTCCACAATGATCACCCAAAAATGTCACTTATAGTTTACCATATTACAAATACATGCCAATTATTTGTTGCAAGTAATTATAAAATATAGGTTTGAATCGCTAGCAATGTTTATAAAATTACCCAAAATGAATTAGGATAGATAGGAAAATTTTTAAAATGGATCGTATATGAGTTGTAATCGATACAAAGTTGCTCATTATAATAAATCATCTGTATTCTGAATTTTTGTCAATTCCGTGGCAATTTTTATCTAGAGTTTATTATGTTTACTGAGTGGCAATGAGTTTTGCATTCTGTGGGGAACTGTAACTGTATGGGTTAAAAAGCTTGGTTTATAACTTTGCATAAAGCGCCCTTCACAGCCTGTGGCTGGCAGGCACTCTGAGTCCCCTTGGGTGTGGCTCTTCCTACCTCCTCTTTTGCCCATTTCCTGTCCTCACTTCTTGTCTCACTGCCTCTCTGTTACAGAACTCTACCAGGAAGGACCGAGCTCAGCCCTATGGAAGTTCTGAGACAAACTGAAAGCAAGCTCTGCCACTCGCTGTAGCAGTAAAATGGGACCCCAGATCCACCACGATGTGCCTAGGAAGTGAAATGACAGTGCCTTTAACTCTTCAATGTGCGAAGAAACAGAAAAATCTTGTTAGCTGCAGTTCTAAAAATTGCAAGTATCCCACAGTCTGTGCCTTCATCAGCAAAGATTCTGCGTGTATTTTATTCAACAAATGTGAATTCACTTCTAAAAATAACCAGTGCAGGTTTTCTACAAGCATGGAGGGTCACCAAGGTTGAAACAATCAGTCTTGGGCTTGCCCACTTTGAATGGAAACAAAGTATTTTCCCCATCTGGGAGTTTTACTTTTTTTCTCCTTGGCTTCCTATCTCCTTCCCATAAGACTCAAATACTATTTCAGAAACATGGAGTAAGATGGAGCCCCTGCTCGGATCTTAGTTTCTCTTCCTCTTTTTCCGATAGCAGGACATTTGCTTTGTCCTAAGATGAACTTTGTCATTTACTTCCACGGTATGGTTTGACCTGGGAGATCATTTCATCCCTACACTCTGAGAAAAGGAACCATTGTTTTCAAGGTAAACTTAACCAACAGTTTCTCTCAGAAGTGTGGTATTCTATCAAAACACAAATATCAAACTAACTGTGAGAAGTAGCCCCAAACCGAAAAACGTTAGCCCAAATGAGCCTTCCAAAAAGCCCAGAAAGACTTGCCTTTTGCAGCCTTGCCTTGTCTCCGCTGTTGTGAGGACAATCCTGTTTTGAACACTAGATGGCGATATGAACTCACTGAATTTGGAACCCAACCAGCCCATCTGTAATTTCAAAGAGAAAAAAAGATGAGGATTTTCCTTAACTGATTTGATAGTCTGACACATAGTGTTAAGGAAGTGAATTTATATGATGTAACAGCTATTTCATTAAGTTTCAGTGAAAAAGAAAGCATCCTCGTCTGGCAGGCAAACGTGCCTGCTTCTAAAACGTGAGCCAGGGAAATAGGGAGGCAGAGTACAGTTAGAGGAAAGGGGAAAAGCAGACAGGCTTGCTGGCCGATTTGACTGCTTCTTGACTGACTTAAATATTTTCTTGACTACCTGACAGTCAAAATGGTGAAGGCAGTTTGTTTGTGTCAACATAGGGTTATTTTGTGCACCGACTGCAGCCTGTATGTCTATATTGCTAGAGTTTGTCTGCCTCTTTTGTAGCCTAGCTATTTGGCCAAGGTGGTTAGGGACGTCTACCACTGAGACCCCAGTCATCTTGGCCACGGACCATTTCCTCAGCTCTGGCCAGTCGTTTCACAAATGCTTGATCTACAGACACTCCTGCACATGGAAGTCCAGATGATCAGAAAAGCCACCTCACTGCAGGAAGAAAAAAAAAAAAAAGCCACCTCTTGGGGCTTACCTATCCCATGAATGGCAGATCCCTAGTGTCACTTCTTTCAAAAGACTCAAGTAAATGCTTCTAAAAGTCAACTCTCTTGATGAGCATATGTTCCTCAACCCTTGAACCAGGTATATTATGCACACAGCTGCTTCAAACTGAAAGGGAATGGAGGGAGAACTAGCTGGAATCCCAGCGACCCACAATGTTGTTACAAAGACCAACAGGCAAACAAATATTGTATAGTGCATTAAATATAGTAGGGGAGAGTTTTACTTCCAAACTGCCAAGGAAGTGAATAAGAGTTGAAGCTCAGGCCAGTCACTAAGTTCAGACACAAGCAATGACATGAATTCAACTACAAGATGTGGTCAAAGGCATTCCAGAGGATAAAGTAACTCTGTATGAAAACAACAATTTTCAGAGTGGGTGTTTGAGAACACCTGTCCATATACCAGGAATGTGGTCTATGTGGTGGCAGGTGCTACTAGTTAAGTGGATGAGATAGGCAGTCAAAAGGCAACCAGAGGTTTTCCGTAATCTAAAACTTCATAAAACCCAAAGTCGGTGGGTTCTCAGTAACAAAACAACTGGGAGAAATGAGCAAATGTGTAGTCTCTGGCCCAGAAATTCCGAGCAGTCTCGGGAGGCGCAGCCCTCCCAGAGGGTGGGGCATGAATCCCCCCTTCCACTGTGCCTTGTACATGCTGGACCTCCTTCCAAACCTTAGAGTGTGGACGCCTAGGAGTTAAGCATGGAAAATTCAGGGTTAGCAGTGACAGTGACAGGTCATGTCAATGGCACTTTTTCATTACAGCCTTTCCCCTCAAACATGTAACATACATGATTTATATCATACAAATTCCTCCGGAAGTTCCGTGTAGAAAATACCAGGACTCCTCACATTTGTAGTGGACACCTAAAGCTTTTACTACCAAGAGGATTCTCAGACATCTTGACAGAGACACGGCATGTCTTGGATAGGATCCAGGAACAGAAAAGCAAAAGCAACAACAAAACCAACCTGAATGAAGCATGAGTTTGATTGGGTAATGCAGCAATATCTATTCATTGGTTATGATAAGCAATGAGAGGCACCATTAGACACGGGATAGATGTAAACCTCCTGCATTCTCTTTGCAATTGTGTTCTTGTAAAGATAAAGGTACTCTTTTGGTTTCATTCATTGGCTTTGTTCATTTTTGAGATAAGATTTTGCTATGTATCTCCCTGACTGGCCTGGAAGTCATTATATAGATTAGTGTGGCCTCAAACTGGTGGCTCCATGACAGGAGTCTAGCTGATAGATACCAGAAGAAGCCCTGGGACAAGTGGAATGAGCAAGACAGTGTTATTAGTAAGAGACCTTTTATATTCAGAGGTTTTATGAAATAAGAAGTGCAATATTAATACTGATGTAGTATTAGTGTATGATTAAAAATACAGAGGGGTGAAAATTAATGAATATTTTGACTTTGGTAGATTGGGAATATTGGCATAAAGTCATTTTTCTGCATATAGGGCAAAAACAGAAATGAGTATCTTAAAAGTGTGTATACCCAGGCAATGGTGAAGAGGACAACCTAAAAGCCCTTCCCCTAAAATGAGACTGATGACTACTCTTTATGCCATCCTAGAGCCCTCATCCAGTGGCTGATGGAAGCAGAGACAGACATCCACAGATATACACGGAGCTGAAAGGGGGAATTGAGTGGAAGAGAGTGAAGAATGAAGAGCAAAGGGGTCTGTACCAGGTTGGAGAAACCCACAGGAACAGTTGACCTGAACAAGGGAGAGCACATCGACCCCAGATGCTGTCTGGGAGGCCAGTACAGTACTAATCCAGA